ACCTACTATTACCTACTACCTACTACCTACTACCGACGACTACTAGGACTACGATGGCTCCCTGAGCCGATAATTCAGGGGGAGTGGACCTCATGAGTGGTATCTCATACCTTCTTGACCTTGTTGACCTTCTATGTGGGGGGGGGGCAGATTAATCCGGGGTTGACATTAATATATTATAATATAGTTATACCCACCTAATTATAGCAGGTGGTGAAGCCCGTGTGGATCCCCACCTCAACATTCCTACCTGGAAAAGGTCAATCATGTTCAACCCTATTTGATCTATTTGGGAATGGTTCTGGCACGCACAAGAACAAGCGGAAACAGATTCATTGGTTGGTATTTTCCAGACAAAAACCAGGGGCCAAGGGGGTCAGCCATTTGATGATCTTTTGGCAGGTGTTTTTGATTGATCCCACAGAATCCCTACGACCTCCCCTCCTGTAGCCCTCACAGAACGCATAAGACACGAAGTCGAGACCGCACGCTTTTGGTTTCACGGTGGGCAAGAGACGTCGAGACCGCTCACGCCTGCCGAGGCATGAGCATGATGATGCCCGGCATGATGATGCCGGGCATGATGCCCGGACTCGATGTGCTGGGCATGAGTGCGATGGCTGGCATGGCTGGAATGGGCCCGGGCTCCAAGGGTTTCGACCCGCGAAGCTGATTTGGGGTGTTGCAGGGTGCCAGGGACGTGTTGTTTGGACGTTTGATGTTCCAGCATGTGTCCTGGCATGCTTCAAAACTGAGCTGCACGGAGATGTGCCGGGCATTAGAACAATAGACACCCAACCAAAAGGAGCGTCCTTTTGCCGAAAGCCTTTCTTCCATTTTCAGATAGCATTTCTTGTTCCGCTTCCAGATTACGTTTCTTTAGTATGCACGTAGACCTTTCAACACCCTGTTCACCACCTTTCCACGAAGGAGGTTGACATTCTTGCAGCGAGGAAGGTGAACACACAGCTGCCCAAGGTCTCCAAGCTCATTTTGGGATGAGCCACCATCATGAGCCATGTTAGGATTTAGGCTAGACTCGACCATGACCATGGCACCCCCATGGGAGTTCCACGTCATTTTTGATGAACATCAGGGAGTGGTTTTCGTGGTCTGAAATTCTTGATGCTTCGGGGTGGACCACGGTCCAGCGGCGAGCGTTCTCTCTCCTTCAAAAGATGGAAAGACACAGGAAATTCCAGTGGTTTCGAAAGGGGTGCCGAACTTATTGGAGGTAAACAGGGTGCCCCTGTCACATCCACTCACTTGGGGACTGAACATCATCCCTTTGTGACTGCTGCTGTTTGGGGTGTATGGTTCGCACGAAGATGGCCCAAGCCCAAGCGTGCTGTCCAATAATTGATGACAAGGAACAGGTGGCTGCAGGTGGTCAGCCTGAAAACGGGTCATTTCTGGCAAACACATGGCCCATGGCTGGCGACTCCGCGCCATTTCCGTGGGTTTTGGCAGGACCCGTCCTTCGCGTGGCCTGGTGGGTTCCTCACCTTTCGTTCCTCCAGGCCTTCCTGGCATGGGAATGGCCCTGCCCGGCATGCAGATGCGGGGGGGGCTCGGAGGGGAGGATAGAGCAGGTTGCGAGATGGAGCAGGGAGATGGGATTGCAGCATCAGAGTTCAGAAGGAAAAGACACCTCCTGAGAAGAGAGGAGATCTTGGAAAGGACCGTCTTCCTTTATCTTTCTCTACAAGCCGATAGATCAATCTAAGTGTAAGAAGTACAGGTCCGACTAAAGAGCGGTTCTGGTCTTTCATCATCCTCACTGGTCAATCTAGCTTTCCACCGGGTCGCCCATCACAGCTTTGCTCAATCCGTGGTTTTTCTCCGCCAGGGCCATGTGATCCCAGATCAGATGTATTCCAGCTGATGATCCGATGTGGCACTTGAGGATGGGCATGCCTATGGCTGGCATGCCCATGATCCCCGGCATGCTGCCGGGCGCTGCCGGTGCAGCCACCGGCGCCGCGGCGGCGGATTCCAAGGCATCCTCCTAGGCGGATGGGTGGTGGGTTTCAGCGTTTGGAGTTGGATAATTCAGGATATTTCTCCAAGAAATCCTTCTTCACGCGAAACATAGAAATTCAACACAAAACAACGGAGCTCAAGACACCAATGTTGCTTCTCGAACGCTCAGAGCGCAGTGGAACGCGCAGCTCGGAACGCGTTCGGGCACGGTTGCGTGGCTCACCGACCGTGCAGGGCTCACAGGTCCGAAGGGACCAGTAGCATGGCACTTTGCCCTACCGGTCACAGACCTCATTTTGCTGGAGTTGGTCGTAACAAATCACTACTCAAGGAGATATAAAGGATATGACTCAGGTTACCTGTGGGTATTTGGACTTGTAGGCTTGAGTTGTGGGGAGATGGAATATTTGTACGTGCATTCTTCTCAATGAAAGATGGTGTTCCAGGACCACATGCCTCATTTCCATGAGTAGGAGTTCTTTTTTGTTTTTTCGGGGCATGGCATGTCTAGTTTCGGTGGGACCTACTTGCTCACACAGATCAAAGGGGCTAGCGGCTAGCTTCACATTCCGCCGGATAGCTCATTCATATATTCTTCTTTGGCGTGGGCATTTGGACGACGGCCACACACCTTCGGCGTGTCTCCCCTGTCCAAATCTCCTTTCGCAGGAAAGCCTGTGAGCAGAGTGTCACCCCAGCGAAGTAGACGAGCTCCGAGTTTTGCGTGTCGACACGCGCAGCGGGGCGCGAGGTGTGAGCGTGGCACAGCAGCACAGAACCAGTCAACACCAGACTTCGCCTCCGGGCACAGCACAGAAACCAGAAACCGGCCCCCCGCCCAGAGCCAGACACGCCTCACGCACGGAGCGGAGCCGGGCGCGCGAGCGATGCGTGGGCGGCGATTTATGCGCGGCAAAATGGCAAGGGATGGTGCTCGTGGAATGATGGGGAGGGGACATGGGAGTTCTAGCGTCGATCCTCGGAGATTCTTCAGCGGTCACGGCATTACTGCCGTTTGTTAAACATTGTTCAACCTCATGCGCTGCAAAGATATATCACACATTATCATACAAAGAGGGAGACAAAAAAGGGCGGACACTACATGAATCATCATGAAACTACAAAAGATACCAAAAGACTATCAAAAGCCTGTAGTACCCCTCCATCTCCAGAAAATTCTGGAGGCCAACACTTGGCACTTGGCATCCAAAGGCTCATGGCACGGTTCCATGGGTTGCACTTCCCTGAAATCATTCAAAAACAAGTGGTGTGCATGAACACCACCTGTTTGCCCTGCGGATTTCAGGATCCATGGTCCATCCGAACTCGCCGGCCCAGGGCCATCGCAGCCGACTGAACCGTCGCCGCGTTGCTTCGGGCTCCAGGGCCATGGGACGGAGCTTTTTGACAGAAAGTGAACGACAGAAGCCCACGACTTGGTCCAGTTGCAGTTGAGTTGCAAAAGCTGTGAAAAAAAAAGAAAAACTCTTTTTGGCTGCACTTGAAGCACTAGACTAGACTGGTGTTTCGCAACTTTTGGCACTGACTCACATCTTGTTGCAAGCTTGCTCACGTAGGCCAGCAGGTCTTTCAGCGGCACAATTATTAATGTTTGCAGACTCTCTTTTTGCCAGCCAGCTGTAGATGATCAGGACCCAAATTTCAGGATCTAAGTCTTTTGTGTTTTCGGTTCTCGTCCAGCCCAATTGATATGCCCGGAGCCCTGGATCCCGGGGCAGTCTGAAGGGGCAGAGCGTCGCCGTTTTGGGGTCCAATGTCCTCCTTGTCTGGGATGAGTGCGCATGCTAGTGGTGACCCAAGCAATCATGGGCCATTGGGTGATTGTAGATTCGGTTTGACCTGCAGTTACTTGGGGTGTTGGAGTAAGAAGCTTCTTAATTTGGTTCTGTTCCCAGAGGCTTGATGGCCCCTTAGTCACTGAACTGGGAAGACTGAGTCAGTCGGAGAGAGTAGGCCGGCTTTGTTTCTCTTTCATATCAAAGGGCGGCTCCTCAGGGATTACAACAAATCCATCAACCCCATCCCTAACGTTGCACAACATCCCTGGTGTAGTGTTTGGACGGCACTTTAATAAACAAGCCAACTTCCTGGAGTCCACTCAAATGCAAGGCAGTTTTGTGTACTTGGAATTGACCTCCGGGAGACTTTGGACGATCTCAGCCTCAAAAGTTGGTTTCCTGCCCTCCTCAACTTGGCTTGGGCGAGGCTGCTTACTTCACATCCGTCTCCATATTTTGGTTCCCAGGCGGCATGGCGGACGACAAGCTTCGCCGACAACGTTTGTGGAAGAGCATGCAGCAACGAGGCCGCAGCTTCCCGCGGCTGACACGCACGCATGCTGCTGGGTCATGTGGGCGGTGCTATAGGGCACGCCAGCCATGACCAATTGAGCCGATATTAGCCAACCATGGCCAACCATGGCCAACCACAATTACGAGGATTCCTGTTGAACCATTGATTGGACCCAAACCCAACCCAACTCCCCCAACCCTCCTCCAGAGCGGGACAGGTTCCCAAACAGCGCTTCCGGCGGAGGCTTGCAGAAGTTCATGCACCAACGGCCGGGTGATTTCCTCCGCCGCGCCAAGAAGGGCATTCCCGCGGAGTACCGCGCGGAGGCATCCTGTGTATACAGGTTTTGACCCTGGTGGGTGGTCAAAGGCTGCGAGTCAGGTGGGAAGTGCTCCCTCTATGAAGGTGCCAAAAGAACGTAGGAAGGCTTTTTGACCACTTTAGTGAACGGACTCTGGAGAATGTGTCACGTTTGAAGAGGTTGGCACAGTTCTTGCTGCATGAATTTTGGGGTATATAGTAGTTGTTCACTGTTTGAGTATGTTCCTGATGGTTCTAGTCAAGACCAGCACGCTTCATTTGTTGGCGTCGGAGTTTGGAAGACCCTTTGTCAGGTTTGGAAGACTGCGCTGAAGGCGGATGCCCATGCAAAGGCGGGCCTCTACAAGGACCGAGCAAAATGCCTTGAGTCCCGAGTCAGGGAAATGGTCAAGGATGTAGTACGCACGGGTCCTCATATATACATGGGTCCTTTAATGTATACCCTCTGGATGATCATGGACTTTTCAGTTGTGGCATTTGGCACTTGGATGTCCTTTGAACAGTTTTGTTGGTGCGGCTACCTTGGCTCAGTGCTTCCGTGGACTCAATTTCCCTGTTTTCAGAAGAAATCAAGAAGTCAGAGGAATAAAGGTCCTAAAGACTCCGTTTCGGCTTTCGTCAGATCAACTGTCCACAAGGTCAACAACGTTCCCAGTTCCAACCACTCTTCAGGAACTTTGATGTTCTGTGATCCCTTTTCTTAGGACTCACAGAACAACAGATCCAACCAAAGTTCTTGAAGAGTGGTTCCAGTGGTGTTCTGAACACTCCCAAGAAGTTTGTTGTTCTGTGATCCCTTCAGTTCTAGTTCCAGTTTCGACTCTCCAGGAGCTGCAGATGGCTGAGAATGAGTTTTTGCACCTCATCGAGATCGACATCCCAAGGACCTTCCCAGATCCTCGGACCAAACCACGACGTCGTGAGACGGTACGTCCCGAAGAGCCGGAGAGCTCGCCCGCCGGAGAGCCGGGTTGAAAGGCGTTGAAGCTGCAAGAGAAATAGCCGCGAGAGCGGTCAGTGTTTTGTCAACAGGCACCTTCGCACCTTCATATACTAGCTATACTAGCCTATACTCCATATTTATACCAATGTCTTGCGTGCTTTTTCCTAGCACAACTTCTGGGTAATGGCTGATGTGGCAGGAAGGAAGGAAGTAGACTAAGAACCTCATTCGGAGTTCCGAGTTCGATTCTATTTGACCATATGTCGGAGTTCCATCACCTCCAGACTGAGGGGCCGTGACGGTCCGGGACCGCCCAAACCCCGCCGGGTCGACCGCGCTGAGGAAGACCCGAAGTTCGGTCCCCGGCAGTGCGGGGGCTCAGACAGAGCGCGGAGCGCTGCGACTCGTTTTGCCCCAGATCATTGGATGGATGGAAGAGGTAGATTATATAGCACTTACAAACTAGTATGGTAAAAGTCCGGCAGGCCAAAAAGCTAATTACTAGTCTTGTCAAATAGGTTATGACTGGGATGTTAACATTACAGTTTCAGAGTAGATAGCACAATCCCCCAAAGGGGGTTTAGATGGGCCGTCATCCAAAAGACGTTTTTGGGGGTTTGTGTCATCTACTCTGAAACCACTGTACTCCATTGATGATCCTGCTGTTGAGTAGACTATGTAACTATTCCAGTCCTATGGATGGTTTGGGCATTTCAGCCAGGGCTGGAAGAAACGTGCATGAGGTGAATTTGTGGCTTCACCTTTTGAACGTGCAGCCTCCAGACAGTTGCAGTATACTGAACCTGGGGTCGAGGATCCTGGGCACTTGTTGCTTCAGGCAGGGATCCTCTATGGCGTTGTTTCTTTTCTCTTTGGGGGGTCAGTATGGATCACCTGGTTATTGTGGAGGGTGGTTCATTTGGATGCGCCGTTAGACTTGCTCCACAGAGAAGAGTACAGCAATTGAATGCACTCATTTTATGAGATGAATGGCAGAGGTGTCCCATTTCTGTCGACCCAAGCGATAGAGAAAGGCCCATGGTTCCAAGATATCCTGACAGATGCGGATGCGAACCACTGAGGCAAGAAAGTTTGTTTCGCATCTTGAAAGCCTATGCGAACCTTTGTCCAGATGTGGGATACTGCCCGGGGCCCTGAAGGAGCGTCCCCCCAAGCAGCAGCAAACCTCAACAACCAGCAAGGGAAGGCCAGTGCGGTGTCATACCCAGACTGGCACGGACCTCAGCTTATGCAAGCAACTCTCTTGTTTTGGGGGTCCCATCCTGCCTTCATTCCTCTCATTTGCTTTGAGGGTGGAAGAGAGTCAGCCATATGGTAAATTTGACCCAGCGTCGGTTGTTGCAGCTGGCCGTCCGGCAAAACGTTTTCCGGTTCTGGGCAGCGAAGCCCTGAAGTGCCAGCCACAAGACAAAGTAACAGAACGCCAGGGCTGCCAATAATCAAAGTGCCAGGAGAGCAAGATGTCCTCCAGAAGAATGGCTTTCAAAGAAAGGGGAGCAGAGGATTGAGGATTCTATCACATTCATCCCAAAAATGCACCAAAAAACAACGTGATGATCGAGCACATCTATGTAGGCTGTCCATGTCTATGCCTTTATAAAAATACTGTGGATGCTCCAACATGGTTCCAAAGTGGGTTCCGAACACCTCTCCCAAGCCTTCCCACGTACCTTCCCTCGGTTTGGAGGCCAAGGGATGAACTTCATCGTGGGGCTTTTGCTTCTGGTCGCGTTCCTGGAGACAGGGATCGATGCGGTGAAGCGGAGCTGTTTGGGCTTTGACAAATGGGCAGTTCATGATGTGTCTATGGTACCCTATGGATCCACATACCTTCTGAGAAGGTGATTGGAGACTATTTATGTAGGCTTGGAGGGTCCAATTACCTTCCGAGAAGGTATGTGGATCCATAGGGGTACCAAAATTGGACAGATATCTTGTGTAGTTTGACAAGTTGTATATGATACACGATGTCGATCTACGATTCTGGATGATCCTATAGTATAGAAGCTTCATGAAGCTTCTTGTGCTGCAAATGTCCAAAAGGGCACCTCAGCGGGCTCGACCCGCAACCCCATCGGCGCCTGGTCGCGCAAACCGCCACGAGGTGGTGCAGGGTGGGGCCTTTGGGGGCGACGACCGCGATTTGCCGCCGGAGATGGAAGAGGAGCTGGATGTTTTGGGTGGAGGCTCTAGAAGCACCAGGGTGACGTATTGAAGTTGATATTGTTGATTTGATGCTCAAAACATATTGAAACGTGTTTTTTGTTGTCCCATCTCTGGTTTTGGCAGAGCATGGCGGAGCTGTCGATGTGCCAAGGGCGAGTTGAAGGCGGGTTGGCCCAATTGAATCCATTGGACGCTAAAACCTTTAGCCTTTTGCATCCAGAATCCAGAGTGGATTTCTTCAGTGCATTGGTTGCTCCGTGGGTCTCGGTGATAAGTACTATATGTTGTTGCACTCAGTCGGGAGAGGAGGATTTTCCAGTCGATGCAGTTAGCTCATTAGATTGGAAGGGTGGAGGGTTTGGATGAGCCCGGTCGGTATGAAACAACGGGTTTGGCCCCACTTTACTGACTAAAGGGAGGATGGAACAGGCTATGCCATGTTGAGGCCTTCTCCTTCTCACCTGACGGTTGGTGGCTTTTTCTGCGTCCAGGAGACATTTTGGATGTTCTTCAGCCTCATGGAGTGTAGCTGCTCGTCTATAGAGGAGGATGAGCAGAGACGCTGGCGGGAAATTGGGAGCACGCGCTGCATGTTGCGACTCTGTCGGGTTGTGGTGGCGAATGCGAAGGGCAACGTTTGTTCCAAGTTAAGTTCGATTTCCGTGCCTGAAGACCAGCAACATCATCCAGCTGTGGCTTCCCATGACTTTCAAAAGCTGTGACTTGACCAAATTTTTGAGAACGACCCCAGAACCATCTAGAACCCATTCGACCCTTCTGTTGATAGGAACAAGTTCTCTTGTGGCCCCAACCACCGGCCACAAGGGTCACAAACCGCTCGCTCAGGTCACCCGACCGGTCACCCCTCGGGCACCTTCGGCTTGGATCTTTCGGTCGACCCAGGTCATCTCAACGGCTTCTACCGCCGGCAGTTCCCCCTCCTCAAGCGGTGCCCCCAATACGCGAAACGCGTTCTCCAAGCTTCGCCTTCTCTGGGATCCAGGATCCGTTGCGTCCACCGGGCCACCGGTCGCCCGATGAAGTGAGCTTTTCGTTGGTGTGGACCTGGACCTGGGCACCGATATGTGGTCCTGCCAGAATATGTTTCTCAAGCTCAAGCTTCTGCTCACACATCTTCATTTACACAGAGAGAGAGAGATGTGATGGAAAAGAAACACATTCCCACAAGTTTCGAAGAAGTTTTTGCCTCAGCCATGTCTACCTTCTCCAGTCCAGCGATGTGTTGGGCAAATCTGAAGAGCCAGAAGAGCCGCGGGTTCCGCCGGGCTGGATGCGGCGTGGCTTGCTGGTTGGCATGCATTGTGTGCTTCCAACCTGGGCATCTCGGCTATGTCGGGAGCACTGTCCACTTGTGCCATCGTGGGGCCAAGCTGCAGACCACCACCATGCTGGTGCGTGAAAGGAGAGGAACCTTGTTGCCCAAGACCACTGATGTCAAGACTGCAGGTGGTGAGAGGTCAAAGGCCTCCTCCTTTGCATCAGATGGTGAGAAGGATGCTCGGAGATTGACATCTCAGATAAAGAAGGTCCTGACGCCAGCTGAGTTGCTTGGCATTTTGGATGAATCTGTGGATGCTCCATACTTCAACTGCTTCCACGTTTCAGCTGCCTACCACAGGTTGGCAATCTTTCAGAGGAAAGGCCGGTTGCCTAGCAACTACGTGGACAGTGCAGTGCTGCCCAAACTCCACGCTCGAGTTGAGAACATGATCAAACTGAGGCAAATGGATGCACGAGCTTCCGCAAACGCGCTTTGGGCAATGGCGGTGCTACTTGGTGCTGTGCCTTCAGCGACCACCTTGATTCCTGCTTTGCTCGAAGACGTTCTGGCCGAAGCCAGCAGAATGACTGCTCGACATTTGTCCAACTGCTTGTGGGCAGCAGCAGATATGAAGGATCTTGTACCTGATGTACTAAAGATAGTGCCAGCGCTGGTTGCCCACATCCCAGGCAAGGCTGGCGACATGAATTGTCAAGACTTGTCCAACTGCATGTGGGCATCAGCGCAATTGAAAGATGCGGCGCCTGATGTGCTGAAGAGTGTGCCAGCACTCGCCGCCCAGATTCCAATCAACACTAGCGGCATGTTTGAGCAAGACTTATCTAACTGTTTGTGGGCATCAGCACATTTGAAGGATCTTGCTCCTGATGTGTTGAAGGTTGTGCCAGAGCTGGTTGCCCACATTCCAGGCAAGGCTGCTGAGATAATGATTCCTCAAGGCTTCTCCAACTGTTTGTGGGCATCAGCACAATTGAAAGATCTCGCTCCTGATGTGCTGAATGTTGTGCCAACACTCATCGCCCAAATTCCAAGCAAAGCTGGTGACATGAATCCTCAAGAACTGTCCAACTGCTTGTGGGCATCAGCACACTTGAAGGATGTCGCTCCTGACATGCTGAAGGTCGTGCCAGCACTAGGTAGCCAAATTCCAGGCAAGGCTGTTGACATGAACGCTCAAGAATTGTCCAACTGCTTGTGGGCATCAGCACGTTTGAAAGATGTTGCTCCTGATGCGGTGCGAGTTGTGCCACCGCTCGTTGCCCACATTCCCGGCAAAGCTGGCCAGATGATAGAAAAAGGCTTGTCCCAGTGCCGGTTGGCATTGGAAGAGTTGAAGGATGTAGCGCCCGAAGTGCTGAAGATCGAACCTGCCATACGAGCAAGGACTCCGTAGCTTTCACTTGAATACTGGATTGATATTGGTTGAAAGTGCATGAAACCTGCTGATTTGTTGCGCATGTTAGATCCATACTATAGGCTAGGCAGGGCGCAAGGACTGCCACGGTTCCTGGCTCCATCTTGAGAAGAGTGCTCAGTTAAATCGAAGCACCACGGAGATCCGAGTGCAGGAGCATGTGGTGGTTTGTGCATAGTCCTGGCACTGGATGGTGGAAATTGAAAAGAGCGTGCCACGTGCAGTCCAACCTGCTTGTTGTTCATGTGCACGTTTCAACAGCAAGGTGCTTTGTTGCTCCCATGTTGACATGGTACAATATTGTGTACGTTCATGAGTCACTTGATTTTTGGAAGCTAGAAGGCACGGAAGACACGCTACTGAGATCATCTTTGTTCCAGCAGCTTGTTCAAGTTTCGATTCACTTTTCTGTGCATGGCAGCATGGCAGAGGCAAAGTAGAAAGAAACATAAATTCTGACCTGCAATATCCTGCAAACTTCTATTGCAGACTATGAACTATGATTCCACTCAGGTCATGAAACTAAAACACCTCCCACGATTATCAAGGCTTCGTAAGTTGTCCTTACTTGGCCATGCCCACCTCTTACCAGTGCTCAAAGCCAATAGCAATGCCTTGGGCATCGCTCAAAAGCCAGAAGAGCCGCTCGTTTCGTCACAGTGCATGCATTGTGGTTTGCTGGTTGGCATGCATTGTGTGCTTCCGACTCGGGCATCTCAGCTATGTTGGCGAAACCATCCACCTGTGCCATCGTGGGGCCAAGCTGCAGACCACCACCATGCTGGTGCGTGAAAGGAGAGGAACCTTGTTGCCCAAGACCACTGATGTCAAGACTGCAGGTGGTGAGAGGTCAAAGGCCTCCTCCTTTGCATCAGATGGTGAGAAGGATGCTCGGAGATTGACATCTCAGATAAAGAAGGTCCTGACGCCAGCTGAGTTGCTTGGCATTTTGGATGAAGCGGTGGACGCACCGTACTTCAACTGCTTTCACGTTTCAGCCGCCTACCACAGGTTGGCAATCTTTCAGCAGAGCGGGTCGTTACCTCGAAACTGTGCTGAAAGCACGGTCCTCCCGAGGCTGAATTCTCAAGTTGAGAACATGCTCATGCTGGAGCAACTGGATGCACGAGCCACCGCTAACGTGCTTTGGGCATTGGCAGTGCTGCTGGGCGCCGTGCCCTTGGTGACAAGCTTGATTCACGACTTGGCTCAAGATGTTCAAGACAAAGCCAGTGAACTGAATACTCATGATTTGTCCAACTGCTTGTGGGCATCAGCAAAATTGAAGGATGTCGCTCCTGATGTCCTGAACGTGGTGCCAGCACTCATTGCCCAAATTCGAGGCAAAGCTGGCGACATGATTCCCCAACAGTTGTCCAACTGCTTGTGGGCATCAGCACATTTGAAGGATGATGCTCCTGATGTGCTGGACATTGTGCCAGCGCTGGCTGCCCACATTCCACGCAAGGCTAGTGACATGATTCCTCAAGCACTGTCCAACTGCCTGTGGGCATCAGCGCATTTGAAAGATGATGCTGATGTCCTGAACGTGGTTCCAGCACTTATTGCCCAAATTCCAGGTAAAGCTGGCGACATGATTCCCCAACAGTTGTCCAACTGTTTGTGGGCATCAGCACGTTTGAAGGATGTCGCTCCGGACGTGCTGAATGTTGTGCCAGCACTCATTGCCCAGATTCCAGGCAAGCTTGGTGAGATGGTTCCTCAAGAATTGTCCAACTGCTTGTGGGCATCAGCACATTTGAAGGATGATGCTCCTGATGTGCTGGACATTGTGCCAGCGCTGGCTGCCCACATTCCACGCAAGGCTAGTGACATGATTCCTCAACAGTTGTCCAACTGCCTGTGGGCATCAGCGCATTTGAAGGAAGTGGCTCCTGATGTGCTGAAGGTCATGCCAGCACTTGTTGCCCAAATTCCAGGCAAAGCTGGCGACATGATTCCCCAACAGTTGTCCAACTGTTTGTGGGCATCAGCACGTTTGAAGGATGTCGCTCCGGACGTGTTGAAGGTCGTGTCAGCACTCGCTGCCCGCCTTCCAAGCAGAGCTGTTGACATGAAGCCTCAAGGATTGTCCAACTGTTTGTGGGCATCAGCACATTTGAAGGATGTCGCTCCTGACGTGCTGAAAGTCGTGCCAGCACTTCTTGCCCAAATTCCGGGCAAAGCTGGCCAGATGACAGAAATAAATTTGTCCCAATGCAGATGGGCTGTGGAAGAGTTGAAGGATGTAGCACCCGAAGTGCTGAAGATCGAAGCTGCACTCATGGCGAGGCGGAAAGCAAAGGCCGCCAGCCCATAGTCATAGTTGCAATGAAGGTAGGCGGTTGTGCCAAGTGGATCCACGGCCGCAGTATATGTTCTTTTTGCCACGTAGTGTTTGTAGATGATTTTAGTCAGTGGTAATGCGACAATTCCCTAAAGGCAGGTGCATGGACCACAGGTTCCTGGCACCATCTTGAGAAGAGTGCTCGGCCGAACTGAAGCACCACGGGGATCCGAGTGCAGGAGCAGGTGTTTTTTCGTGCACAATCCTGGCACAGGGCGTTGGAAGTCAAAAAGAGAGCTTAATCCAACCTGCTTAGTCGTTATGATGGGCTATGTCGGTTGACCTGCAAAGTGTCGGCAGTGCTGCTGGTCTCCCGCTGGACAAGTTTGTACGCACAAGGCCTGCCAAGGGAGTGACTGAAATGACACTGCCTACATTCAAGCAGTACCCAAAACACCAGTCAGAAAGATTCAGAAAGCACCATATTTCAGGGTTCTTTTTTGAGAAAAGCAACTCATCAAGCTCTATTGCAGGTACCTTTGGGCTTTTGAAGAGCTGTTGTCCACCACCCTGCCTGTCACTTGACAATCTCAGGGTGAGTTGGGATAGAGGCTCGATTCGACAGAAGAAGAAAAGGCTACATTTGTGGCAGCCACACAATCTCAAACACCCTGATTGCAGAGGAATATCCTGTAGCCTGTGGCTGGTTTACTCTAAACCGTCTAAGCCCGAAACTGTTTGCACAAGTGTTTGTTTTGTTCATTGTGGTTGGTGAGGATACAGGCCGGCAATTAGCATACGCACCCTTTGCTATTATTCAGTTATCATTAGTGTTGAAGGACTTGACAATGTCCAAACGCGAGACGTAGGAGATGGATGTGAATTTGGCAACATTTTGAATTATGGCACTTAGTAGGACCTTATCAAGTCAGTGTTATTCCTTCGTCGACTGTTCCAGACGCTTTGTGTGCGACTCTTATTTGGAGGTGAACAGGGTGGAAGGGTGTCAGCACCATCAAAGCTCCTCAGTTGCTAGTTCCGAACTTAACTAGTTCCTATGGAGAATATGTATATATATAATATATAGCTGCTAGTTTACTTGGAAGAATTGACTTGGAATCTCCATCGACGTTATTCTTTGGACCATGTATCCCACAAGGAGTTGCAGCAGCACTTCCTGAAAGAGAATCTGCAGCATGCAGTTTACCTGCCGCTTGTCTGTGCATTTGCAACCAACTCCTGACCACTGTTCATGGGGCTGGAAAATGGGTTGTGTCGCCAAAAAATGATGAGCAGCGCAAACTGCACTTGGGGAACTTTCCCAGGGTTTCAGCAGAACAGCACAGGTTGGTGATAGCAGGTTGGCAAGATCGTTTAGGTGCGCATTTGTATTTGTTCTTGGTGAGCCTTTTGACACATGCGTGTTGTGCGGGAACACTCGCGTTCAAACTACAAGAGTGTGAAGACGCAAGCTGTTTGCCTACCCTGAACCGAAGAGCAGAGCAAACAACTATTGGATTTTGTTACCAGATACTTTGTGAACCGGCCGCGCAGCATCGAACTCTTGGATGGTTGGACAAACGCTTGGATGCTTTGGATGCTTTGGAGTGCCCATACTTGAAGCCGAAAGCCATGGTTCATGATATCTTCATGTATGTGTTCCGCATAGTTTGCAGACAACCAGGTCGGAGTAGGGTCTAGAATGCCATACTTTGCACCAAATTGTACCAATATGTACCAATATTTGGATGCTCTTCAGAAGAGGATTCAAGAGGAACGCATCCACTTGTTGCTTGCGAACAATCCCCGGGAGTTGGGTATTGCGAATCTGCTTTCGAACGTGTTTTGTACGTCCTTTTTGGAAGGATTTGCACCCACTTGGCAGGCATCAGTGGTTCCTGACTCTCTTCATCAGTAGTTTGCCGCTGCCTATGGTGCTCGTCTTTTGGGATGCCGCTTGGCCAGTGGGGTCGGCTAAGCAGCTTGACAGGTGGGAAGAGGGCATCTCTCTCCCAGTTTTTGAAGTGAGTAGCACAGCTGTGGAGAGTGGTGGGAGCATTCAATTGATCAATTGATCAGTGAAGCAGGATGCGTTTTCCCGTGGAGCCAGAATCATACCCCAGTGAGACACCCAATGGAAAACGGCTTGAACACATTCACCAGTAAGCACAGAGTCACTGTCGTATGCTTGGAATGTCACGATTGTGGACCTTTGCAAGCCTTTGTATATTCTGGATGAACCCGACAGACCTAGGAAGTTGTACTTGGCTGGCTTCCAAGCAAGACGTATGCAACAGTTTAAATTAGGAGGTTTTGAATGCTGATTAAAAGGGTGGAGTCATTGGTCCTTTTCTTCACCCGAGGCAATCATTTGTGGTGGTTTGCAGGACCGTGCCGCTGTGGCAGCCCGCATTGATCATAGGTACCGGAGGGTAGGGGGGTATGTCGGGTATGTAGAACATGAAAGAGAAGCAAGAGTATTTGCAAGGTCAGAGGTATACATCTCAACATGTGCTCAAACATCACTGACTCAATTAACTATACAAGATGACTGTAGTGGAGCAAAATGACTCTTAAAGCCTTAATTAGCCTTTTGAGTTGAGATCGGCACTGGGGAGGGCCACACATGGACCCTTGGGGTCCCTGTATCAACGATATATCCTCCTTCCTCAGCCAGTTGCGACATCCGTTCTTGTCATACCCCCTGCCCCTAGGCTATAAATGAACTCCTTCCACAGTTGGTGCACCCTCCTTGTCCTGCCCCCCCCCCACGGGTCAGCCCGCATCCAAAGAAGGCACACTCTATCGAAAGAATCCAAATTCTTTGAGGGGGCTGCCCGGCTGCGAGTTGCAGGAGATTTTGCCCATCTCATTGTCGGTGCTGCAGTTGCTTCAGTCCACCTTGCTGTCCATGAAGCAGCTCGGCGGGAGTGACGAACAAAAGCTTTCCATGCGTGAGTTTTGTTGGGTTTTGTTGGTGATGACCCTCATGTATGAGGGTGAGGGTGTTATGGTGGTGTTTGTGAAAACGCCGTAGACAAAAATTGAAAAATATCACTCTATAGTCGTCAGTGGTTTGGGGGGGCGGGTTCCTTGTCCGCTTGAAGGTGAAGAGAGATGATTCCTGCCGAGAGGTGCTTGCTCCAACTCGACCATACCTGTCTTCCCCGGCCTCCACCTGCAAAATTCTATCCTCCTTGGATTGTTGGTGTCGGTTGGCATTTGGGCAAAGCCAGAAGGAATCCGGGCGAGCCGCCGCCACGAGACGAACACAGGGACCTCTCCCTTAGGGCGCAGGTCCAATCTTCGAGTTCCATTGTGTCCCTAGGGCCCTTGGGATCTAAGTACCTTTTCAGGTACGGTGATTGGATTTTGGGTCAACCCCTGTATTGGAAACGACCATTTTGTAAAGACAATATTGGTGTTCTATAGAATCACTGTCCTGGGTGTTCCTGATTTGTAGAGTGATCAGGGTAATTTTTGGAGCATGTTAGCTGAAACAGGATTTGCAAGACAGAGAGGGTCCATTATATAAGTTATATAGAAACAACATTTGTTTTTATATCTTTCTGTTGACTCGAGCATGTGCACCCACCCACCATAGTGTTGAAAAGGGTTAGAACCCATTTTGTAGAGATGGTTGTTTAAGCATTTTTCTTGGAGGGGTTGATTTTATAGAGAGCGCACTTTTCTGATACATTTCTGTGAGCCCACTCAGGCCAACCCCCAACCCAATCTTATAGACTTAAGGTTTCTATCTTGGGGGGCTTGATTTTATAGATGGATTGGTTGGTTTCGACCTGGGATGAGGCATTTGTAGATACAAAATGCCCCCCCCCGGGGTTGTCGAGTGAATTGTACAGGGGATATTGGAGGCATTGTGATAAAATCTTATCTTGGGAGGGTCCAGTCGTACCGAACCTGAGGTTCGGTATGACTGGAGCCCCTAGGGTATGAGCGAAAAGTGTCAGGGTCGGACGGGCCCGACGTTTTCTCCTGAGGTTCGAAGAGATTGTGAGCTTCTTTAAGACGATGAGGAGTAGAGAACAGGACCAGTGGAAGCTGCCGGGTGAGCGAGCGACTGGGTGGAAGCAGATGTTCCCGCAAGGGTGGCCAGCGATGTGGTTTGGCCTGGACTTGTAGTTGACGAGTGAATGGTGCGATCTCTGAAATGCCATGCTTCTCCCCCAGATCTCAGAACTGTGTTGCTGATTGCTGGAGATCCAGCTATCTGAGCAGCTATCTCGAGATCCAGCGTTGCTGCAACACACACGAAACGCCGCATGGCTCCGTCCTCAGCGCAGGAGGAGTGCGACTTTGAAAGCATTGGCCGGATCGCCGTCCAGGGCAGCGAGCAGATTGGCCCCTTGGAGCGATCCACCGAGCGGAGAGAGCGGAGAGAGCGGAGAGGTATGGGCCGGGAAGGTCCTTTTTGGAAGGGAACCGAACATATGATTGTGGGTGTTGCTGGAGGTGTGAAGAAAGAAGAGCCAGAGGACCAGATCATATTCCCGATCCACATACCTTCTCAGAAGGTAATTGGACCCTCCTGGCGCCTGCATAAATAGTCTGCAATCACCTCAGAAGGTATGTGGATCCATAGGGATTGAGACATAGTTTATGATTAGGGACATGTTATACAGAAAGCACCTGGGTGGCTTTCCGTTCTGTTTCATGGATGCCCAGTCTTTGCTTTTGTCGTGACGCCCAGGCATGCCGGAGCAGATTTTGGACGTGCTCCGCCGGCCCTTGCCTTTGCGAACCGATGACCTAATGGCGCCTTGGGGCGGTATTGGGTTCGGAGGGGTGTGCCAGCTTCATGAGGGGGGATATGGACGTCATTGGCTTAGCTTACCTGGTAAACCGTTCAATAGCGTTTTGAGGAATGTTTGAAGACATGAAACGTTCTACTTCTCAGTGAGAGGAACGATCTAGGTGAGATGTGAGCACTTTGAATCAAGGCTTACTTCAACTTCCGTGATTCTTTCCAGGAGTGCCATGTAGACTCTTGATTAACAATCCTCCATGTGAATTGAAAAACCTCTTCAGGGCTGGGGGTGGTCTATGAACCTAGAGTCTACATTATCCACTGTAGAACTTGCATACATGTGTCCCAGTTTGGGAAGAGTATCCCAGAGGTGCTTTCCAGGTTCTTCGCCCATGCTGATCGCCCACGAAGCGCTCGAAGCGCGACGCCGTTTACGCACATCTGAGGAGCGGACGCCTCAGCCTGGCACTGAGAGGAGGGAGAGGGTCCAACAAAACACCAGTGCCAAGGTGCCAGGAGTCATG